AATCTTTTCTTGCATATTAACTTCCAGGGGTATTTATTTGAAAACAATCCGTGATAAACCGTGACATACATGTAACATTTCCGACGGACCGCTGCTGCCGCTGCGTCGCTCACCTAACGTACTTTGCTGATTGTTGATTGCAGGTGAGTACAGGTAATAATAACTCACCTAAGGTACTTTGCTAATTGTTGATTGCAGGTGAGTACAGGTAATAATAGCTCACCTGAAGTACTTTGCGCGCTGGGAGCGGCTCTCGCGGGCCAGCAGCTCCAGTCGATGGACGTTGGACAGAGACGACGGGACCTGCTTACCCGACTGCAGCGACATCACGTATTCCATCTCCACAACCTGCAGCCGCACCATCTCCTCCTCAGACAGGTGGGAGAAGTCCGGAGAACAGATGTCCAGCGTGCTCTCTCCCTCCGTGTCGAAGGTCGCGTCCGTTCCGGAATTCCCTTCCGTTCCAGAACTTCCTTCTGTATCGGAATCCTGATTAATTCCAGAATTCTTCTCCGCTCTAAAATTATCCTCTGTCCCGGAACTTTCCTCCACCACAGATCTCTCTGGAGTTCCGGAACTCTCTTTTGCAGAATTCTCTGGAATCCTGGAGCACTCCGGACTCCCAGAACTCTCCGGGTGCGACTCCGCCTTCGTGGACAGCGGCGCCCGGTGGCAGAACGCGTGGCGACGACAGCGATCGATCTTCGACGTCTCCGCCGGCGCGGCGACGACAGTTCTAGCGACTGCCGTGGCGATGACGTGATGCTGCCTCGACGCCAGCCGCAGCATCGATGGCGCGAGCCGCGCGGTCCGACCCACGCTCGTCAGCATTGTAATTGCGAAGTTTTTGCAACGACCCTCGGGTTCGGGGATCGGCAACCCTTGACCGCGCGACCGAGACGATTGGATTCCGTGCGATGATGTTGTTACGCCTTGCGTTTATCGATCACCTGTAGATGTTGAAGAGATAGACAATATATATTAGTTTAATTAATAGGTTCATATTAATACATCATAGATTTCAACAGTCGATGTGACATTCAATTCATTGTAATTTGTAATTGTAATATTTGTATTTATTTTAATATTTATTGTACCAAAGTAACAATACATGAAACGGACCGTGTGAATGCGTAAAGCATGCTGAGAAAACGGTGTATCGCCTTGGACAAAGTTCAGATATCTGCGTATATCGACTAATTTTACGTTGAGACAGATAATAAGCTTTTTATTTTCTTAACATGCTTTCACGAAAAATTTCACAGGGCGCAGACATCTTTGTGTGCAACCAGCGCCATCTCTAGGGAAACCGCGAGAAAAAATATACGTGTATTTGGCGCTTCGCGGTTGGTCGTCGCGTCGCACGTGGTTAATCGTGGTGGACGTTGATTGGTGGGAAACTACACGTGGAGCAAGAACTGAATCAACTGATGGTCACTCACCCCCGGCTTGCATTCTTCCACCTGCGTTAATAAAAGCCGAGTTATTCTCGAGCTTTTTTCGCAATTATCTGGTGTTTCAAGCTCGAAACTTTGCAACCATGCGACGGTGGTTCATACTGGGAGTCATTGGAGTTCTGCTGCTAGCTGGTGAGTTTTTGTCAATGCGAAAAATCGCTCGAATTAATCGAACATGCAATCCAGAATTTTTGCGAAGCGCTTCGCAAAAATTCTGGATTGTTCGTGATTTCCACTCGTGCATATTATTTCAGTTTACAATTTGCGCAATTGTTGTTTTCGTCTTTAAGCTCAACAAACGTCCACCTGCGTAAACTCTGATTACAGTTACTCTGATCCTGTATTCTGTAATAACTAATTCGCAGGAAGCTGCAGGGCTGACGACGATACCGTGGGTGAGGATGAGACGGTGGAGGTGGACATAGGGAAGAGCAGGGACGGGTCGCGCACAGATGACGAGGTAGTGGAGAGGTAAGATACACACTCACAGTGCCACGATATATATATATATATATAACATATATATAGAAGCATGTGGAGGGAAAGTAGATACATGCGTACTGTGTACATACAAAAGTACAGTAGGGTG